CGTGGCGGGCGGGCGGCTGTCTCTGCCGCCGCCTCGAGTGCGTCTCGTCTCGCTCTTCGTCTACTCGAGCCTCGTCTCGTGTGCCACCTCGTGGGCGGCGTGGCGGGCGGGCGGCTGTCTCTGCCGCCGCCTCGAGTGAGCCTCGTCACACTCTTCGTCTCCGTCTCGTGTGCCGCCTCGTGGGCGGCGTGGCGGGCGGGCGGCTGTCTCTGCCTCTGCCTCGAGTGCGCCTCGTCTCGGGCGGCTGTCTCCGCCGCCGCCTCGAGTGAGCCTCGTCTCGCTCTTCGTCTACTCGAGCCTCGTCTCGTGTGCCGCCTCGTGGGCGGCGTGACGGGCGGGCGGCTGTCTCCGCCGCCGCCTCGAGTGAGCCTCGTCTCGCTCTTCGTCTACTCGAGCCTCGCCTCGTGTGCCGCCTCGTGGGCGGCGTGGCGGGCGGGCGGCTGTCTCTGCCGCCGCCTCGAGTGCGCCTCGTCTCGCTCTTCGTCTACTCGAGCCTCGTCTCGTGTGCCACCTCGTGGGCGGCGTGGCGGGCGGGCGGCTGTCTCTGCCGCCCCCTCGAGTGCTTCTCGTCTCGCTCTTCGTCTACTCGAGCCTCGCCTCGTGTGCCACCTCGTGGGCGGCGTGGCGGGCGGGCGGCTGTCTCTGCCGCCGCCTCGAGTGAGCCTCGTCTCGCTCTGAGTCTACTCGAGCCTCGTCTCGTGTGCCGCCTCGTGGGCGGCGTGGCGGGCGGGCGGCTGTCTCTGCCGCCGCCTCGAGTGAGCCTCGTCTCGCTCTGGCCGGCGGCTGTCTCTGCCGCCGCCTCGAGTGAGCCTCGTCTCGCTCTTTGTCTACTCGAGCCTCGTCTCGTGTGCCGCCTCGCGGGCGGCGTAGCGCGTGGGCGGCTGTCTCTGCCGCCGCCTCGAGTGAGCCTCGTCTCGCTCTTTGTCTACTCGAGCCACGTCTCGTGTGCCGCCTTGTGGGCGGCGTGGCGGGCGGGCGGCTGTCTCTGCCGCCGCCTCGAGTGAGCCTCGTCTCGCTCTTCGTCTACTCGAGCCTCGTCTCGTGTGCCGCCTCGTGGGCGGCGTGGCGGGCGGGCGGCTGTCTCTGCCGCGGCCTCGAGTGAGCCTCGTCTCGCTCTTCGTCTACTCGAGCCTCGTCTCGTGTGCCGCCTCGTGGGCGGCGTGGCGGGCGGGCGGCTGTCTCTGCCTCTGCCTCGAGTGCGTCTCGTCTCGGGCGGCTGTCTCCGCCGCCGCCTCGAGTGAGCCTCGTCTCGCTCTTCGTCTACTCGAGCCTCGTCTCGTGTGCCGCCTCGTGGGCGGCGTGACGGGCGGGCGGCTGTCTCCGCCGCCGCCTCGAGTGAGCCTCGTCTCGCTCTTCGTCTACTCGAGCCTCGCCTCGTGTGCCGCCTCGTGGGCGGCGTGGCGGGCGGGCGGCTGTCTCTGCCGCCGCCTCGAGTGCGCCTCGTCTCGCTCTTCGTCTACTCGAGCCTCGTCTCGTGTGCCACCTCGTGGGCGGCGTGGCGGGCGGGCGGCTGTCTCTGCCGCCCCCTCGAGTGCTTCTCGTCTCGCTCTTCGTCTACTCGAGCCTCGCCTCGTGTGCCACCTCGTGGGCGGCGTGGCGGGCGGGCGGCTGTCTCTGCCGCCGCCTCGAGTGAGCCTCGTCTCGCTCTTCGTCTACTCGAGCCTCGTCTCGTGTGCCGCCTCGTGGGCGGCGTGGCGGGCGGGCGGCTGTCTCTGCCGCCTCCTCGAGTGAGCCTCGTCTCGCTCTTCGTCTACTCGAGCCTCGTCTCGTGTGCCGCCTCGTGGGCGGGGTGGCGTGGCGGGCGGCTGTCTCTGCCGCCGCCTCGAGTGCGCCTCGTCTCGCTCTTCGTCTACTCGAGCCTCGCCTCGTGTGCCACCTCGTGGGCGGCATGGCGGGCGGGCGGCTGTCTCTGCCGCGGCCTCGAGTGCGCCTCGTCTCGCTCTTCGTCTACTCGAGCCTCGTCTCGTGTGCCGCCTCGTGGGCGGCGTGGCGGGCGGGCGGCTGTCTCTGCCGCCGCCTCGAGTGAGCCTCGTCTCGCTCTTCGTCTACTCGAGCCTCGTCTCGTGTGCCGCCTCGTGGGCGGGGTGGCGTGGCGGGCGGCTGTCTCTGCCGCCGCCTCGAGTGCGCCTCGTCTCGCTCTTCGTCTACTCGAGCCTCGTCTCGTGTGCCGCCTCGTGGGCGGCGTGGCGGGCGGGCGGCTGTCTCTGCCGCCGCCTCGAGTGAGCCTCGTCTCGCTCTTTGTCTACTCGAGCCTCGTCTCGTGTGCCGCCTTGTGGGCGGCGTGGCGTGGCCGGCGGCTGTCTCTGCCGCCGCCTCGAGTGAGCCTCGTGTCGCTCTTTGTCTACTCGAGCCTCGTCTCGTGTGCCGCCTCGTGGGCGGGGTGGCGGGCGGGCGGCTGTCTCCGACGCCGCCTCGAGTGAGCTTCGTGTCGCTCTTCGTCTACTCGAGCCTCGTCTCGTGTGCCACCTCGTGAGCGGCGTGGCGGGCGGGCGGCTGTCTCTGCCGCCGCCTCGAGTGCGCCTCGTCTCGCTCTTCGTCTACTCGAGGCTCGTCTCGTGTGCCGCCTTGTGGGCGGCGTGGCGTGGCGGGCGGCTGTCTCTGCCGCCGCCTCGAGTGAGCCTCGTCTCGTTCTTCGTCTACTCGAGCCTCGTCTCGTGTGCCGCCTCGTGGGCGGCGTGGCGTGGCGGGCGGCTGTCTCTGCCTCCCGCCTCGAGTGAGCCTCGTCTCGCTCTTCGTCTCCTCGAGGCCGCCTCGAGTGAGCCTCGTCTCGCTCTTCGTCTACTCGAGCCTCGTCTCGTGTGCCACCTCGTGAGCGGCGTGGCGTGGCGGGCGGCTGTCTCTGCCGCCGCCTCGAGTGAGCCTCGTCTCGCTCTTCGTCTACTCGAGCCTCGTCTCGTGTGCCGCCTCGTGGGCGGCGTGGCGGGCGGGCGGCTGTCTCCGCCGCCGCCTCGAGTGAGCCTCGTCTCGCTCTTCGTCTACTCGAGCCTCGTCTCGTGTGCCGCCTCGTGGGCGGCGTGGCTGGCGGGCGGCTGCCTCCGCCGCCGCCTCGAGTGAGCCTCGTCTCGCTCTTCGTCTACTCGAGCCTCGTCTCGTGTGCCACCTCGTGGGCGGCGTGGCGGGCGGGCGGCTGCCTCCGCCGCCCCCTCGAGTGAGCCCTTGTCTCGCTCTTCGTCTACTCGAG